AAAAAAAAAAAAAAGTACACAGAAGCTTTGGACTCCCACTTGGCTCTGATAGAGGTGGGGGCTGGGACGTGTTTTCACAAGCCCTCTAGGTGAGTGTGGTGCACACTGTGGAGTGAGGGCCACCACGCTAGCCTCACGGGCTGGACCCCTTCCTGCTGTATGGACCAGTGCCCCTGCTGGCCTCGGGGTCTGATGTTTGGGGACTGTGGGGAAGCTGCTGGGGGCAGAGGATGGGTGAGTGGAAGGCCAGTGAGCACACAGGCCTGCCCTTTCAGGCCATGAGGATGAGGATCGCGACTATCTATCTCTGTAAAGCTGGGAGGTCCGTGAAGTGGGGTGTCAAGTTGCTCAGTAGGGCTGTGTGCTGAGTGATAGTGGATGTTCTGCTGGAAAATGAGAGTGTCCTGTTAGCTGAGACCAGGCCGAGGGAAGTGGTCACTGGACAGCAGTGGTCATGGACTCCTTTATGCCAACAAAGAACAGGGACTTGCTCAGAGTAATTGATAATTGTTAGGTGTTAATGAAGAATAGCGCTATCAGTTTATGGTGCAGAAAAAAGGGTCTGGATTAGACCACCTCATAGCTGAGAAGGTTTTCAGTGTAAAGAGTCTTTGACAATAGTGCGTTCTGCTTATGTCTGGTTCTTTAAGACACATTTTTTTTAGTGCCCCCTGTGTGCAAGGCATCACGGTAAGCTCTGTGGTGCGACCATGGCTCTGGGGGGGGGGTGGCCCACCCATGTAGGGAGTCTGATAAATGAGGGAGTTCATTTTTATCGCAGTCACAGACACATCTAGCAATTAATGGGTGCTTACTGTATGCCAGTACAGCTTTCTGTGCTTTATGTGGATTCTGTTACAAAACTCGATATGCTATATATATTTCACCGAGGAGGAAACTGAGCTTCAGTGAAGGTTCTCTAAGTCACCCAGCGTGAGAGTCCTAGACTCAGATTCAGACCCTGACTTTAGTGCCTGTGGAAGCCCAGTGCGGAAGCAACCATGTTCAACTAGCGTTGGATTGTAGATGGGCACAGCATCATGTTGATCTTTTGATTTTTTTGATTTTTTTTCTTTGTGAAAAGAACAGATTCTGATTCTGTATAATTTCAGAATTTTTGCCAATTTGTGTTAACTGGCAGTACAGATCAGGAGAGATGCTCTAATCCTGTCTGGCCTTCCGGAGTCTGCTATACTCCAGGTGGTAATTGTTGCACCCAGCTGACCTGCCAAGTAGACAGTGTGTAATTAACCACTGTGGGTCTTCTCTGATTGGCCAGTTCTGAGTAATCTACCTGATTCCGTTGCACTGAGAGGAACGGAGGAGGGAATGTGCCCTGCCAAGTTTAAAATACACTCTGCAGTGGCTGATGTGAACGTGATTACGCATGGCAATTGTGACTTCCTGTTTACAAGATAAAAAGACTTGCAGAGATTTATCAGAGAAATTTCACAGGGCTTCTGTGAAGCTGTCACATAAGGCTTAGAGAAAGCACTGGAATAATTTCATAGCAAGTGCCTTTGAACCATATGGATAGTTTTTTTTTTTTCTTAATGTGTGCATCAGCTTAAAAGAGGATTACCAGATGATCTATAAAGATCTATGGAAGATGTTTGATGGTATGTGTCCCAGAATATTAAAGAAAGGAAAATTTCAAAATGCTTGAAAAAAAAATTACGGTTGGCTTTTCTAAAACCAAGGTTTGAAAGATGGGGGGCTGGGTTGAGGGGGTTGTTTTCACCTTACTCTGTGGTTTTCAGAGTCAGTGACTTCTGTGTGGCAGGAGGAGTTCTCGGGGCAGTCTTTGGCAAGAGGCCTTCTCTAACTCGTTTGCTACCGGCTGTGTGTACTGTCTGGTCTGTTTAAACGCGTGCGCACCCACACACCACACACACGCACGCGTGTGCACTTCATGCCTACTGTGCCAGGCATTATGCTCCCCTGAGGAGGGGTCTGTCCAGCTCAGAACCTTGCTTCACATTCCTTGGCAGAAGAGGTTAGGTGGTTGGCGGGATGGCAGGTGGGGGGAGGGGAGAGCGGAACTGGAAGGTGTCTCGCGAAATGAGAATGGAACCCAGCCCACAGTGCTTGAATTCAGGTCCTCACTTGGCACTTAGTAGCTTTGTGGCCTTGGGTCAGCGACGTCACCTCTTTGAACCTCTTGGGGATTATGACATGTATCCTGCTTAACCCTGAAGCTCTTGTAAGGACAATTAAAATAAACTGTGTGAGGGCTTGTGGTAAACTGTGAAGTTCTGTGTAAAGTAGGCAGCGTGGTTGGTGGCTGGGGCCAGCCTCAGCCTCAGCCCTGTTCCCCGTTCCCCCTGAGTCCCTTGCTCAGCAGGCCTGGCCTCATTCTCCAGCCCTGGTGTGGGGTGGCTACACAGCAGGTGGGGGCCTGGGGTGAAAGCCCGTACAGTTTGAGGGGGGCAGTGTGGCTGGCTGATGCCTAGACAGAGCCATGGGCTGGGCAGCTGAAGCAATAAACTTCTGCCGTCTGAGACCGAACTCCATGTCCTTGAAAGCTTAGTGTTTCCTGCTCCTCAGGGACCCTGTCACTGTTCCAATGGTCTTTTTCCTTCTTACAGTTTTGTCAGCACTTTACTGTTGAGTGTCAGGGGTTATTTGTTTGGAGCAGAGACCCGCCACATTCCCAAAGCCTGGCAGGGACAGTGCGCCCTCCAGGAGCACTTTGCCCTGTAGTGTGCGTGGCCGGAAGTGTCCCAGGACTGGAACAGAGCCACAGGGCAGAGAATACCATGTCTGTTCAATAATTGATTTTTTATCTGACTCCTGTGAGACCCATGTGTGTGTTTTCAGTACATTTGCCCATTTTGTTGGAGGTCATCCCAGAACTCCCACGCTGGTGTGTTGCTTTCTGCAGTGGTGGGAGCATTGCCATAGGCCACAAAGGGATACAGAACAAGTGCCGGGGTGTGGGGGGGGTAACACTGAGGACAGTCAAGTTGATAATAGCACCATGGACATCTGTCCTGTTTACTGCTGCCCCTCAGGAAATAGACTGTGGCGGCCATGGTTGGGTGGCAGCCCTGTCATTTCTGCCCCCAAAACAAGCAGTGCAAATGGCCTGTGGCAGCTTGAGCAGGTGTCATTTTCAGCCCCACATCACTGAGAAGTTCCCTTGAGGAGGTATGAGCTTTTTATAGAAATAAAGTAAGCATCATATGTTGTTGGCAGAGATCATTTTCATCTTATGAACTTTTAAAAAACACAGTACCGACCCTTGCCCAAAGCTGGGCACCCCATAAAATCAAACCCCAGCCTCAGGTGATTCACCCTCAGAGAGTCTATGTCATCACTCACGGGACGGTCTTCTGTTAAAACTGACTTTTGTGCGTGTGGTGACGGTTTGTGTTGGAGGCAAACAGAGGGAAACATGACTTAGAGGCTGTGAAGGCAGAATGAAGCAAAGGGTTTTTGCTTCCTGTGAAATTCTCTCTCCACGTCTATGCCCCTGCTTGTGGCTCATGTCAAGTCTATTTCATGACTTTGTACAAAGCTGAAAATGATGTGAACGCTATTCCTGAGCAAGTCAACTTGGTTATGTGTTTTGTTCTGATGAATGTCCTCTGCAAATCTGCTAACTTTAAAAACAAACCAAAACATCATTGTTGATAAATGAGACTGAACATGCTGCTCATTATTCAGATTTTGCTTTTCCTACGTGGTTTTTATGAGACATTGCCTCCGCTATTTACAAAAAGTCTTCTCACTCAGACCCCACACAAGGTCTATTCATCAGTGACCCATGCTGATAAAGGGAATTCGTGTCCACCTTTGTGACACAGTCACCTGTGGATAACTCAAGCCTTAATAAGTTTTGGCAGCCTGGATCTTTCTAGAAACATGGAGCATCACATTGGGAACTCATAAGAATAACCAAGTCATAGGATTAATATAGGAACTCATACAGTTACTGAATGCTGTGCCATTAATGAGTTGGCTGTCAGTATTGAACACGTTTGGCAAATTATTTTCTTTTGAACTATATAAATGAGCATATTTATCATTTGCATAATCACTTAGTGGTCCCTAATTTTTATAGAAGCTAGTCCTTGAAATTGAGAGCCTACCTCTTAACTTGGAACAAAACTGAGATCAGTTTAGTATAACCCTAGGGAACGTGGTTACGCTCATTACACCAGGCTGTAAGGGCAAGTTTCATGTGGTTAGTCCTTTGGCTGCATTATTGGGTCAAAACCGAAAAATCTTAATAATGACTGTTTTGCATATCGGGGAAAATATTTACTGAACCATAACATGGTATTCTCTTAGAAGCCTTTAGGAATGGGGGTGCCCAGTAACTTGAGCAGGTTATCTCCAGGTAATGTACAAAAGGATATTCCTTTTGATTAGATTCAAGGCATGGGAGCCATGTGTCTGGCTTTTCAGAATAACCATCTCCAACGGCTCTTGATTTATTGTGTTATTGAAGTTTACACTAACTCATGACATTGGATTTTGTTTCTATGTCTTCACTTAGCTGGGAATTTTCCAGTCTAAAAAATTAGTCACTGTAGATGATTGAAGAACAATGCTTGGAAGTACCCGGCTTCTGTAAGCAGAGAGACGCTTATTAGCCGGACCATATCCCTGATGCGGGCCAGAGTGCGGCTGGTGCCAGCAATGGGCTGTGTGGTCATCATCGCCGCCCAACTTAAGAAGGCAAAATAGACGAGGAAGAATGTTGTAAAACATCCAAGACTTCCGGATGGCAGGCTCACAATGGGGTGTTTTCACTTTAAGTTCTGGAGACCTCTGTCTGAAATGCGGGGAGGAATGGGGGCATCGAGTGTCGATACCCTTGGGGGAAAAGTGTTCCTACTAGAGTTGATTTACCAAAAATGGATGTTTTGAGCCCAGCTGCTAATTGTTGCCGCTCCGTCTTTGGACAGACTTTCTAGACTCAGCGGTTCATGCTAACGGATATACTGTGTAATAATTTCTGTGTCATGTCCTCTTTAAGAAAAGGAAGTGCCAAACAAGCCCTTGCGTGTCCGAGTCCGATCCTCAGACGACCGGCTCTCCGTTGCGTGGAAGGCACCGCGCCTGTCGGGAGCCAAGAGTCCACGCAGATCGCGGGGTTTTCTTCTGGGCTACGGGGAAAGTGGCCGGAAGATGAATTATGTCCCACTGACAAGAGATGAGCGGACGCACGAAATTAAAAAGCTGGGTGAGTTCAGTGTTAAATGGTGTCGGATGTGTTGATGACCTTTGCCATCATGTCAACGTTTAGAAGCTTGTTTGTGACCGAAAATTATATTTGAGGTGTAGTGTTCATTTTCCGGGTGTGATGATTATTCACAACTGTGTTCTTGGCTCTATCTGATAGCACCAGTTCCTTGAGCTGGGCCATTTCCCTGGACATGGAGAAGCTGATGCTTTTCTCATCTTGTCTCTGCTTTCGCCGTTTTGTTCTTTTAAGTTTTGTCTTAGCTCCCAGGACACTGGACCTTGGGTCCTTTCAAGATGAAATGTGGTGGCCGCTGATGGAGCCTGCACGCCAGGCCTGCCTTCCTCCTTCTTTGCAAACCCTTGTTGTGCGAAGGAAGCTTTGGCCATGGGACGCAGACAGGACATCGGCTGGAACGTGGAGAGATTATGCACAGGGTTCCAGCGTGGGTTGAGGTGCTGCAAAGTCCTGCTTTTCTCCCCCTCTCCTCACGCCCCCCCGTTGACCTGATGAGTTTGGCGGGAGGTGCTGGGAAAGCGTGGGTTGCCCCTTTGTGTGTCCTCCTCTTGCAGCTAAGCCAGGCTGAAGAGAGCGCACAATCTGCTCAGCTCCTCTGGGCATAGGTAACGTAGGGCCCAGGGCTGCCGGGCAGTAGAACCTGGTAATTCTGGGGCTCATACTAGAAAGCACGCTTGCCCTGTGATCTCCAGCGTAGCTGGTACCAGCAATAAATACGCTGGCCCCACTGCTTATTCTTCAGTCGCTTCCTAATTGGATCAGTACTCGGGTGAGGAAGGGGGGGTGATTTATTGGGCCCTCCCAGAAGACTCCAGTGGGACCTGGTGATCTCTTCACTTGCTAACAAAAGCCAGGCCTCGTTCAGCTTCCAGCATCGGAGAGATGGGCTGGAGGTGGGAAAGAGGACCGGATCTGGGCAAAGGAGCCCAGAAGGGCACAGAGCTGAAGGTCTGTGCTGTGAACAGAGTCACCGGTGAGAAGGCAGTTAAGTCTTCTGTCAGACACGGTGAGGGACAGGCAAGTGGTGGGAAATGAGACTGGCGAGACAAAACAAAGAAATGGGAGAAAGAAGGGAGAGGAGAAGCCAGAGTGAGGGTTCCAGGCTCGCAGCAGCGATGACCAGCGGTTTGGGGCCCAGGAAGCAGCCCGGTGAGAAAGGTGGTGATGGAAATGGGGCTGCCCTATGGGAATAAGGTCTACTGGCCCCACGAGCCTCCAGTGCTCTGGGAACACAGTCCCCTCTGCTCAAGGTGTGACCACAGATTCTGGAATTTGGACAAGCAGCTCTGAGTTCCTCGGGACTCCCAAGGCTGGCCCCCTGCGCCATGGCACGCACTGCTCGGGGCCACTTTGATCTGGTTGGAGACACTAGCGGAAGGCCAGCCTGGATTCTCTTCCTGAAATAGCCCGCAAGTCACCATCCTATTCACTGCTGTCTGTTCAGCCACCTGCTGAAGACCCTTGGACAAGTCTGATGGGTGTTCTGCTGGGCAGAGCATCCAAATCATCTCAAAATGCAGACTCCAGACTTCCCAGGCAAAAAGACCAGCTACTTCTCAGCTCCAGGGCCACCGGACACCACATGGGATCGAAGAAGGCACTGGAGACATGCGAGCTGCATGTGCTTTGTGAGGCTTCAGTATTCGCGGCGAGACCTAGAGCCAGAGGCCCCGGCATCTGGAGACTCTGGTCATTCATTCCCAAGCTATCCCTTGCTTTGAATAGTTGTACTGTGCGGGGGGAAATGGGCCAAATTCTACCCAGAATACCAGCAGCAGAGGAGAGTCACTCCTTCTGCATTCCTGAGACTGAGGGGAGCGTGTTTCCAGCAGGAAGTTGTCATTGTTCCGAGTCTTTGGTAGACACCATGCAGAACCAGTCCGTTCTAAACCCCGTTTAGTGCGGACAGGTTTCTCATCTGACTGGTTCTGCTGTCTCTTCATTTCCTCAGTAGTGACCCCTGGCTCATCTGAGGGCAACAGAAGGATTTGTTTGCTTCTTGAACTTGAGCCAGTGTGGGAACCGAGGTCAGAGCTGGGCTCCGGTCCCAGCCTGATGAACAGTGCCTCCCATGCTTCCATGACAACATGTTGGCTTTTGAGTTTTCATCAAACAAAAAAGTGTTGGACTTGCCACTGCCAATGCTCTACAAGGCTGCCTTGAGGACGGAGAGGGCTCCCCGGATGCTTGCTCCATCATGGTGGGGAGGATGCAGTGAATCCCGGGGCGGGCGTCACAGTGGGCCTGCTGTGTCATGGCAGGCCAGTGTCCTCATTTTATCCTACATAGGATTTTACTTCCGTTTATGACCGAGATGCCATCGAGGGCATGGTACCCGCAGAGGGTGGCCAAGGAAACTTGGAGAGAGGTGGGCCCGAGGTCCTGTCAGCAAAACTCCCACCCTCCCAGCCATTCCCGAAGCGCATATGATTGGACGTCTTCTATGTCAGGCTCCCCAGGGGGCGCTGGGGCCCCAGCAGCCCTCCACAGAGACAGACCAGGGACGGAGTGTCGTGAAAGCAGAGACCTTAGAGCAGGCCCGGGAGGCCGGAAGTGCCGGGGTGGGAGCCCCGGGCTGAGTCCCATCCAGGGGAGCACGGGCAGCCATGGGAGACAGAGGCCAGAGGACATAGGAAGCACAGGGGCTCACATGGGAGCGGGACAGTAATAAGGAAGGAGTGCATGAGTTTGGGGGCCTTCAGGAAGTCAGGATGGACAGTCCCAAGTCCAGAGTTTCTACCGAGTCACACACTTGAGGTCGGGGAAGTGAGCCGATACGCTAGCTCTGATGAGGGGCCGTGGTGCCTGGGGGCACTGTGACGCTGAGGTCATTTCAGAAGTTTTATTTCCAGAGTACTAATGATCAGGGGCACAGAATGGAGCGTGTTATCATACCAGGGGGTCTTCATTATTTCTGTGAAAAAGAGATGGTTGCTCCATAGCCGGCACTTGGCTCTGCGCCCTGCTCTCTCCTCACCTGCTGCAGTAAATCCTGGGTGTCACACTGGCCCTGACACCTCATCCAGGACCATGGGTAGGTCATCTCATCCCCCTGAACCTGGTTTCTCGTCTGTGAAAAGGAGACCGTGAGAGTAGCTTCCTCGTGGGCTTCTGTCGGGACTAAATGAGGAGCTGATGTGACACACTCAACACAGCAGAGACCAGACCCAGACACGTGGGCGGTTCTGGTTTCTTCTTCCTTCGTGGTAATCTCGGGCCAGGTTGAGTGTGGAGAGCTCGCAAGTCAAGAATCTGGGTGTTAACAACAACCTAGGAACTTTAAGAAATACATCACAAGTATGTAAAAATGTCAATTGTGGAAATTATTAATTTTGGGGGGCTCTTGATAAATGATGGGGCACTGCTTTTTCAGTTTCTTTATATGTGGTCCTGGGTTGCGAGGTTGGATGGCAGAGTTTTTCTTTGTTGACCTTTGGCTGCTTCCTTTGTCAATAGCACCAAGAAATTGACCGTCTTCAGGGACTCCTCTTTTTGGAAGCTTAGTTTTATGCTCTATGAATCCCAATGTTACAAACTTGATTTTTCCCTTTTATAAAACATACATTTCAAAATTCAGTGGTAGCATGTCAGAGCCTTAGCCTAAATAATAATTCACTCATCACAGCATGAGTTTCACCTGCCCTATATGTGTGTGTGTGTGTGTGTGTGTGTGTTTGTGTGTAGAGAGAGAGAGAGAGAGAGGCTGTTCAAAGGTTGTCAGATATTATCCCCTTCTCCTGAAATGTGACTGGCCTACAGCAGTTTATAAGTTTCTCTGGGTGAAGTTTCTGAACACTGGTCTCCTTTTATGTTTAACTGACATGCTGTTTGTAAAAACAAAAGGTTTATTTTCCCATTACTGTGAAAGTTTGCAATGCCTGAAGGAAGACCTACAGTGTTACAAGTTCTCATTAGGATCTCTGTCACCTCTACTAACTTGCTTAAGTATTACCTGATGCTGTAGTTACCTGATGGTGTATTACCTGATGGTGTATGATTAGAAATATATCATATTGGGGAGCCTGGGTGGCTCAGCCCTTTAAGCGTCTCACTCTTGATTTGGGCTCACCCGATCTCAGAGTGGTGAGATTGAGCCCCAGTCAGGCTCCACGCTGAGCACGGAGCCTGCTTAAGGTTCTCTCTCTCCCTCTCCATCTGCTCCCTGCCCTCTCCGTGCTTGCTCTACCTCAAAAAAATTTTTAAAAATAGAGAAATATATCATATTGCCTCATTTTTTTCTTGAACTAATTAAGGCTGCTGCTGGAAGCCCAGTCAATAGAGCCTGGAGTTAGGCATTAGTGACTCTGGATTCAGAGAAGATTATGCGTCCTTCTTAGGGGCATGACTGTGGGCAAATCAATCAATTTTCTCATGGCTTTATGTCCTTACTTATAAAATAAGAAGGTCAACTTGGAATTTAATCAAGGTTTCATTGGGATCCCAGATTTTATGATTCCATGGTACTCCAGAGTTACAAGTTTTATTTCATCATTGTAATTTTTTTCCAAATAAAGTTTTCAAGTTTAGATTCGGTTGGCTACTACTGGACCCAATGTACAATTTGGAGTGTGGGGTAGAGGGAACTAACGGAAAGAACAATCCAGAAATAAAAGATATATTTAAACTCTTACATTTGCTCTTAGCAAATCTTTGGAGGCTCAGTTCTGAGGATTTCAGTTTCCGAGGGCCCAGCATCCTCTCTGGACTGATAACCTGGTGCACTCACTGTTCTTGTCTTGCTCCCTTCTTTTGGATGACAGATAAAAAAACAGACTGACCCCTCTTCTCTATTTGGAGGTAAAAAGAAATTGGGGGAATTCTGTGGGTAAATATACTGTTCTTTTTTTTTTATTTTTTTTTATTTTTTAAAGATTTTTTTTTATTTATTTATTTGAGAGAGAGAGAATGAGAGAGAGCATGAGAGGGAGGAGGGTCAGAGGGAGAAGCAGACTCCCCGCCGAGCAGGGAGCCCGATGCGGGACTCGATCCCGGAACTCCAGGATCATGACCTGAGCCGAAGGCAGTCGCCCAACCAGCTGAGCCACCCAGGCGCCCTCTTTTTTTTTTTTTTTTAAAACATTGTTCATCTTTCTTCGATGTTGAGGAAATAGAAACCCATTTCTCAAGAATTATGGGTAATATCATTCCATATTTTCTCACATAATAATGTTCTTCTTAGGCCTAGTTTCTAATGTTCTTGGTCTCATCTTTAATTGTCCTGAAGCAGTTGGAATGCCCCAGAAAGACGAGATGGGAAGGGAGTGGAGGGGAGGGGGATGCGGACAAAGAGGGTGTGCGTTCCGGAAGGCCAAACGCAGAGCCTCATCCCTTGCCGGTTGGTTCACAGCCTCGGAATCGGTGTACGTGGTCTCCCTGCGGTCCATGAACTCACAGGGGCAGAGTCAGCCTGTCTACAGGGCTGCCCTAACGAAACGGAAGATTTCAGGTATGTTTCCAAGGACGCACCTGCTCATATCACGGTCTGTGTGGATGCAGGGTTGTTTCCAAATGATGCTGCGTGAGTGGCGAATTACATGGATTTCACTGAGTATGAAGGAAACCACAGGACCGGCTTGGTCACATTTCGGACACGAGCTTATTTCTTTTATACTCAGAGATGAGAGTGTTCTTCCAATGAAGTATATTTCTCTGTGTATTTTGAATGGCTTCCCCGTGCAGTGGATTTACTGCATAGGAGCAGCCAAGCATTTGCTCCATTTAAAGCCACAGTCTAACCCACATATCACTTGCCCTTTGTGGCAGCCCGGGAACAGAGAGAAATAAGAGTAGGTGTGGAGGGGACAGGGTGCAAGATCGCACTCATACTTCATTTTAGCCAAAATCACCTCAACCTAACATTGAGAAGAGTGAGAAAAATGTAGCAGAGGCTTGCTCATAACCTGATCATTGGTCATTTACTAAGGGATGCTTTTTCCCTACATCCTTTCACAGATTTTTTTATATTACATATTAATAAATTACACATACCTATTCTGGGTCCTGCACCTTAATTTAAAGAGGCAGCCTGCAGCATGGTTATTTTCATGAATTCACAATTTATTTGTGATTATAGTTTAATATTACAGAGCAGATATTAAATTATTATGTGTATTTCTATATTATCATTTTACATTTATGATTATAGTTGCTTACGTTGTGTGACAGAAGTCTCAAATATATGATGTTGCATTTTTATTTTTCGTTATTTACTGCTATAGAAAAAGTGCCTGCATTGCTTTTCTACCAGGCTATTTCCACCTTCCCTTACTTGTAACAAAAGTCACATCCTTTTGAAACATGGTCCCTGAAAGGTGAAAATAAAAAAAACAAACAAAACCCCCAAGATACTAAAAGCAAAATTGAAGCCTGTAGGTCTTTGTTTTGGGGAGATCGAACAGAAACTATAGGCTTTGTGAGTATGATGTATTCTCTTGGAAATTGGCAAACTGAATTCTATTTTATGTCTGAATGTAACTTTTAATGTGTCTTGGAACCACATTTTCTAAAATGGGAGGACACTGAACCCAATGTGATTTGTACATTTGTTTGAATTTCATTTCATGCCATGATCGCTAAGGAAATGCTCTGGCTTGACCTTTTCTCCCCCAAAACTTTTGCTTCCTGCAAATCTTGTTGTATTTCCCAGAAACTTACAGTATGTGTTAAGAAAACACTGAGTTACTTGGAGTATCTTGGACCAAGGCAAAGCATCCCTTTTGCACTGTTCTTTATGTCAGCTGGATTGGGCAACTTTACAAGTGAATGGCCCATTTCTTAGACTGTGGATAAGAAGAACAGGAATGGAGAGTTTGGTTTTTTTACATTGACCAAGCAAACAATTGCTTAGCTTTCTATTCATTTCATTTTATCGACATCAAGTGTAAGCAATTTAAAAATTATACAGCATGAATAATGAACTCTAGAGGCCAGAGGAACTCAGGACAGATCCTACTGTAGAGATAGCCTTTAATGTGTCCCACTGTCATTTCAGAAGAGGATGAACTAGACGTGCCTGAAGACATCAATGTCCGGGTCATGTCATCCCAATCCGTGCTTGTAGCCTGGGTGGATCCTGTTTTGGAAAAACAGAAGAAAGTTGTTGCATCAAGGTACTTTCCATTATTTCTTTGTTTTCTGGCCCTGCAGAGACATGTGTTTATTTGAATGACCATATCTTCTGACATATCTGAATGCTGACCTCTTCTGTAGCTGAATGGTAGACTATTCTATGACAATCTAGCTGGTCTCAGGTGCGGTCACACATTTTCCGCAGATCGGATATGACAGGGCCTCGTGTGTAACGCACACAGCAGGACCTCACCTCTCACTTGCTCAGAGTTTTATCTTGTGTCTGGAAATTCCCTAGATTCCGTTTCTTTCTTTGCCCCATTTGTGTTTTGCTTTGTCTCACTATGATCTATTTGTGTGCAGAGGATGTGGCCCCATCTTAGAAGGAATCTTACCTTTCCTCCTGTTATCCAGGAAGGGTGACAGTAGGAACGATTTTTATGTAGAGAAGGGGACATTTGTTGAATGCCTTGCACACCGTAGTTCTTTATTCTTCAAACACTGAATTGTTTTATGTCTAGCTCATTTGTGCATGGCAGAAGGCACTGTTTTGTCTCGTAAGCCATGATGTTATGCTGTTCAGATTTTTATACTCATTTGCAATAGCAGTAGAAGATAAACCAGTCATAGGTTAAAATAATTTTTGTGTTTAAAAAAGCCAGCGGTGAATACCATTCCTTGTTAGTGGTAGATTAATATAACCATCAAAATTTTATGTGTTAAACTACTGAATTGTTTATATTACCAAGAGGAAGCCAAAGATTTGGTGGCCACTATTAGCTTTTGAACCTTTCTACAACCAGGAAAAGTGAACATCCTTTAAAAAAAAGAATGGAATATAATGCTAAGATTATATATGTATTTTATGTATATATTTTTATTATATATATTTATTCTTTAT